TTGATCATTTAATTCTTAATTCATTAATATTAAAAGAACTTCTTGTATTTCATATTTAAATTCAATAACTTGTTTATTTTTCTTGTTTTTTTTTTGGTTTAGAATTTTGATGATATAATTAATTATCCAATTGGTTATACAGATTCAGTTGTTTTTGATCCTGAACTTGACCTTGTATGTATATATTTTTAAATATAAATATTATCTTGTATTTAATTATATTAAATAGGAAAATATTGTTGAAAGTAAACATTTAAAATTAGCACGTAGTGGTCGTAAAGCCATGGATAAAGATTTAAAACCATCACGTGAACAACGTGATAAATTAACGCAAATTTTAGCATATCCACCAGGACAATATCTTTCAATTGAAGAACAAGATTTAGTATGGAAATATCGATTTTTTTTATCACAACATAAAAAAGCACTTGCAAAATTTTTACAATGTGTTCATTGGGATAAACAAGAAGAAGTTAAACAAGCACTTGATTTATTACAACAATGGGTTACAATGGATACTGATGATGCACTTGAATTACTTGGTCCAACTTATCATCATCCAAAAGTTCGTTCTTATGCTGTTTCAAGATTAAGACAAGCATCAGATGAAGTAAAATTATAATAATAGATTTTATATTTAATGATGAATTTATTATTTTTATTGATATTTTAGGATCTTCTTTTATATCTTTTACAATTAGTACAAGCACTTAGATATGAACGTTATGATTTAATTAATGCTTATGTTGTTGATGCTGCAGGCGAAGAACAGAATAGGTTATAAACCCAAAAATAACTTTTATCCGTAAAATTATATGTGACTTCTTTTGTTTTTTAATAGTTTGAATAGTAGCAGTGAAAACTATGCTAATGTTGTTGTTCCATCTGATTCTACATCTTGTGATTCAACAAAATCTTCTAGTCCAGAAGTAAGCTTTGATATTTTCATTCGAATGACATTCATTCATTCTTTTTTTTTTCATAGATTGATTTATCAACATTTTTAATACAACGAGCATGTGAAAAACCAATCATTGCAAATTATTTATTTTGGTTTGTAGAAATAGAAAAAAAAAAAAAACTTTTTTTGTTTATTTTTAATAAACAAATTAAATATATAGGTACGCATATGTTGAATGTGAAAATAATAGTTCAGTAAAAGATAAAGCTATAACTGATATGTATCAAGCATTTGTTGAACGTCTGAGTTTAACACTTAAAACGGTAAGATAGATTTGTTTTTGTTTTTTTCTTTCCCTTATTTAAATATTTATTTGATTTAGAAAAATGAACAAACTCAACAAGTTCGTTTATCAATTGAAGCACAAAAAAAATTTGTTGATAAACTTGTTGAATTAACAAATATTGTAAAACGTGTACAAGGTTCAGCTAAAGTGAAAGTAATTAAATATTTTATTCAAGTTATTTTTATTTTATTTTTCTAATAAATATAATTAGGAAGATAAATTACGTAGTTTATTATTAGCTGGTGATGATTCACCAGTAAGATTTAATTTTCTTAATTTTGATCCAATACCACTTCCATTAGATCCTGAAATTAAAATTCGACGAATTATTCCAGAAAAAATTCGAATATTTAAAGTAAAAAAAATTTATTAAATTTTTATTCTAATATATAAATTTTGTTGTTTTATTAATTATTAGAGTGCTAAATTACCTTTTCTATTTGTATGTGAAACAATTCAAGGTGAAGAATATCCAATTATATTCAAATATGGTGATGATCTTCGACAAGATCAACTTATTTTACAAATTATTACTTTGATGGATCGAGTAAGATATTATAATTAATTAAATAGTTGTCAAGAGAATTTCACTAACTGTTGGATACGATTCGATTACTACGAATAGGTTTCGATGAGAATAATGAATGAAGTTCTCCAACTGATTAATTAATTTTTAGTTGAATTTATATGGATCATGTAGATTCTGTAATATAATTTCTGTGGTCCTTTGACAAGAGTATCAGCCTATTTGATGTGTTCCTATTAAGACATAAGAATATTGAACTTGAGTACATATTAAAAAGAAATACAGTAAAGATGCAATGTACTCCTAAAACAAAGTGTTTTTGTACTTGGAAGTAGATTCGATAATCTTGAAAGTTGCGATTTGTTTTCGAGATAGGATCCGTTTTCTGTAAAGATATCTTATAAATCCTATTGTATACCGAAAGTTTTAATGAAATATTATATTCTTAATGAATGCACATATTTCAAAAAAAATCCGGTTTTCTTGTAAATCTATTATCTCGAAAACAGCAAAAGTGTACTAAATTATACTTAAGTATTTTGATATCAGCAAACAAAATTACATTATTACAGATATGCAAAAACAACAAAGATCTACTAAAAGCTTTTTTTTTAATAAATTTCCAAAATGAATTTTAAGTTTTTTTTCTTTCAATATATTTTATATTTCTCTATGATATAGATTCTTCGAAAAGAAAATATTGATTTAAAACTAACACCATATAAAGTTTTAGCAACTAGTTTAAAATATGGTAAATATATTTTATTTTCTTTTATGTATATTATTTTTAATTGAATCTTTTTTTATTAAAGGTTTTGTTCAATTTATTGAATCTCAACCATTACAAAAAATTCTTGAACGTAATCGTACAATTCGTCAATATTTACAAAATAAAGTAAATATAACAAATAATGATGATCCAATTTTAAATGAAACTGGTATACCTCGAGAAATGATGGATGCTTATGTAAAAAGTTCTGGTATGAAAAATTCTACTGTTTGTAAAAATAAAAAATAAATGAATTTTTATTTTTAGCTGGTTATTGTGTAGTAACATATTTATTAGGTGTTGGTGATCGACATCTTGATAATTTATTATTACGAGATACAGGACAATTATTTCATATTGATTTTGGTTTTATTATGGGTCGAGATCCTAAACCATTACCACAAGCAATGCGTGTATCAAAAGATATGATGGAAATGTTAGATGAAAATCGTTTATTAGACTTTTTACGACATTGTTTTACGGCTTTTATTATTCTGCGAAAGTAAAAATAATTTTTACTTTTTTTCTTATTTATAATTTTCTGAAACACGATATAATACGAGCGTTAAAGTATAGGATTAGATGAAAAATTGAATGTGTACTTTTTAGGTTAGCATAAGTTGAAAAACGAAAACAAAAAAGTGCTACTCGTAATACTTTGAAATCTTTTATTCTATCAATTTATAACAAAAGTAATTTACCTTTTCATGCAATTCGGATTCAAAAAAAAATGTCATTCTTGATTAGCATCGAATTTCTTTTACAGAAATATGTGTTCAGATACAATTTTTCATAACTTGCAATGGGGTCAAAGTTATACAGAATGCGTATTCAATCCATAACACTTTTATAGCATTAACCTGAGCATTTCAGAATGGAACTCAATGTTTTTAGAGAATCCTCATTCTCTTAATGTAGAAGCATTTTTATTCAAGACTAATTTCATATTTCAAGTTCGCTGTAGCTTTTCGTATTGGATTGAAATTAAACGTTTCTCTGTAGAACTATTCATTCATGAAAATGTCTACCGAAACGAACCATTATAAGTGATAATAGAATGATGAAGAAATATGTTTCAAAAAAGATAGAATAGAACAATATCCTTGTAATTAGTAACATCAGTTACATTGTATATTACATTTTTATTTTGCAAGAATTACTCTAACAGCTGTTGTATTCTTTTAGACATGCTAATGTTTTTGCCAATTTATTTTCACTTATGTTAGATGCAAATATACCTGATATTGCATTAGAACGAGATAAAACAGTTAAAAAAGTAATTAATAAAAATAAATTCTTTTTTAATTTAAAATAAAAAACTAAAATTTTATGTTTTTTATTTTAGTTACTCGAAAAATTTCGTCTTGATTTAGATGATGAAAAAGCAATAAGTTATTTAAAAGATTTAATTGATTCAAGTATAGGGGCTATTGTGCCACAATTTTACGATTATTTACATAATTGGTCGCTCGCTTTTCGATGATGGAAATTCTTATTATATAATTTTTTTTTCTTGTACACATGCTAACAATGAACAATTGTACTTTTTTGTTTCTTTTTTTTATTTGTTCCTGTGTGATTTTCATTAAATTATGCCAGATACTAATGAAATGTTTATTTGTTCATCATCTATTTAATTTACTATTTTTCAGATGCCAGCCATTGTTATTGAACGTCCAAATTTACCGATAGAAATGCGTGATGCATTGAAAAAACATATTTTACGTGAAAGACAAAGAAAAAAAGAAGAAGCTGATGCAAATGAAGCCGATAAACAAAGAAGACGTGAAGAAAAGGTTTGTTCTTTCTCATAGTAGTTTTTTTTTCAAGATTAAATAGACTTGTTCAG